ATCACAACGCCCTCCGTTGCCCCTGGCCCACAGGGCTCCTCTATGCCTTCCCGCCTCTAGCCCTGGTTCCCAGAGTTCTCCAGAAGCTCATCTCCTAGAGGGCAGAGCTGATTCTAGTAGCACCCTTCTGGCCCAGGCGCCCCTGGTTTGCGGACCTCCGCAACTTATCGGTGGCCCCTCCCTGGAGAATCCCCCCGACCAGGATATCCCTCTCCCAGGGGCCCCTTCAACACCCAGACCCTCAGTGGCTCCAGTTAGCCGTTTGGAGGTTGAGCGGGAACGCTTAAGGAAAGAACGGTTTTCCGACCAAGTTATTGAGACCATTTTAGCCGCCAGGCGGCCTTCAACAACCCGCATATACAACGCCACTTGGAAGGGATTCTGCGAGTGGTGTCATGGTCTCCAGATCAACCCGCTGTCACCTTCCATAGCTCAGGTCTTGGAGTTCCTCCAAGAGGGCCTGAGGAAAGGGCTTTCCCCCAACACCCTAAGGCGTCAGGTCGCAGCGCTATCCATAGTCATTGACTGTGATAACCTGGGTTCCCTTTCCCACCACCCTCGTATTCGGGCATTCCTCAGGGGGGCCACCAACCTGTGTCCCCCAAACATACACCGATACCCTACCTGGGACCTTAACAAGGTCCTGGTGTCTCTGACTAAGCAACCCTTTGAGCCTCTCAGGGAAGCCTCTCTCCAATTCCTCACATTCAAAGTGGTATTCCTGGTAGCTATTATTTCGGCCCGCCGCATATCGGAGTTAGCAGCCTTGTCGGTAAGGAAGGACCTTTGCATATTTCATGCCGATAGGGTGGTCCTCCGACCGGACCCTACCTTCCTGCCCAAGGTTAACTCGACCTTTCACAGGGCTCAAGAACTCATACTCCCGAACTTCTGTCCCAATCCCTCGCGGGAAAGGGAGAAGCTTTGGCACTCACTGGACGTAAGACGGGCCCTACGCATTTACATTAAGCGTACCCAACCCTTCCGGAGGTCAGAATCTCTCTTCCTTTCCTTCCAGCCCAAATCCTTAGGCCACAAAGTGTCCCCGTCAACCATCGGCCGCTGGATTAGGGCTACCATTTCCAAGGCTTATTTGTCCCAGGCACTGCCGGTACCCAGGGGGATCACAGCACACTCCACCAGAAGTGCAGCCACCTCGGCGGCTTGGGCCACCCAGGCTCCAATTTCTGATATTTGTCGGGCAGCCACTTGGGCATCCCCCTCTCCTTTCATTAGACACTATAAGATTGACACCTTTGCCTCGGCGGAGGCTTCGTTTTGTAGGCGAGTCCTCCAGCGAGTCTTCAAGGAACCTCGGAGATTGCAGGACCAGACGGGGTCCCTCCCGTAGGACAGCCAAGCTTTGGTATGTCCCACTCTCTGGATGATCCGAACGGCTCTCAGGAGAATGGGCGTTGGTTCTTACCTGACACGCCATTTCTCTGGAGCCGTGAGGATCATCCAGCCCCACCCTTTAATTGCCGTCTGGTGGGGCCTTGTTTCGGCCAATGACCTATTTAGCATAGGGAGAGCAGAGCAACGTCCTTCTCTTCACCTTCGTCTTCACGCAAACTGGGGAACGCAAGAGAGCCACGTGATGGAGGGCGGAGCGTTCCTCAGTGATTGAGCTCAGCCATCAACGACGTAGACTGAAGCACCTCCCCACTCTCTGGATGATCCTCACGGCTCCAGAGAAATGGCGTGTCAGGTAAGAACCAACGCCCATTTTCTTGGCACCAATGCAGAACTATTTTGCTGTTGCCTTTTTCCATAATTAATTTTGGGCTTTTTTCCTCCTAAGTGGTTGTTTTTGTCATATTGTTTTCTAGAACCTGCAGAACATCCCTTGGGGGATTTTTCTTAGGTTTCCCTTTCTAGTTTTGACCTGCCAGCAAAGGTAACTTCATCAGGAGCTCCAGCTGCTATGGGTGTCAATCTCAAGGCTATTGAAGCTACTGAGTCCTCTCATAACATTGGAAAGATAATCTCCAGGGAATATAATCTTTTGCTTTTCAGCTACTTGGATCTCCAATTTCTGTTAATCTTAGCCAGCCTGGCCAATAGCAAGGAGCTACTGGATTTAGGAAATAAATTTCAGGGCTTTAGATTGTCCACCCTCTGATCTCAGTTCAAATTCCAATCTTGGAGAATATTAAGCAGATTCTTTCTCTTATTTGTGAATGTTTTGCTAAACTGGATGATGGAAAAATCATTTTATGAAATAAAATATTCTAGCTCGCCTATGATACAAAATAGAAAAATAACAAGTTTTACACATGTCTGACTAGAAAACAACTGTAGCAAGGAAACTGTTTACCTGCCTTGAGGCTGAGGGAAAGAGATAGGATGTTAAGTCAATACATTTACTTTAAAAGATGCCTTTCAGATTCTTCTCATAGAAGAAATACAAGGTTAAAAATAGTTAACATCTTCAGCTTCATTTTCATTCATTTATATTCTGTTCCCCCTTTTAATCCAGCCTTTTAAAATCCCTTCCTCCACCCCATCTCTCTTTTATGCCAATGTCCACAATGAAAAGTAATTAAACCCAAAAATGCCATTTGAACAAATGGTAATGTTGTTTCCTTCCTTTCTCCTGGGGAGATTTTGGCAGCACTTTTAATCAGTGAATAAAGAGCAAACTAAGAATTCCTGGGAGGAAAAGGGAATCAGCACTGGGCGGTGGGGGGAATCTTAGATCAGAATTTCTAATAAATATCCTATGGGTGTTGCCCATTCCTCTGCAGTTCAGTTTCTTGCTTGACTGCGGTAAGAAAACACTGCATATAGGAACACAGTGCACTTCGCCACACAAGACAAACGCATACACTACCACCACACAAACAAAACGGACCAGACTGCAGCAGAACTGCAGACCACGCATTCTGGAAAATACAAGTCATATGATCACTTCTCTCCTTCCCCCTCCCTTCCTCTAACTCAAGTTGTAAACAAGCTTGCAGCTGACTCAGAGCTGTAACCAAATTCTTGGCTCTTGCCTCTGATGGGTGGGGCATGAAGGCAACTTTCAGAGAGGCACACAAATTATACTGGGGGGGGGGGGAGGAGAAAAGTCACAAAATAAACAGCCAAAAAATCTTGATCTGCAGCCATTTGCCTCCTATCTCACAGAATGAAATATCGTAGACATTTATAGGTACCGTCAGAAATTAATTCCTTCATAAAATTAATCTAAAATAGAGCCCAGAACAATGCATTTTTAATGTTCAAAGACCTCTGTCAAAAAAGGGGCATTCAAATGGAAAACAAACCGTGATCTGCAAGAGAGTTTCTAACACAAATCAATGGTTAGTTTTAAGCCCAATTTCCAATTGATTCTGGCAGTTTTAATAGCCATTTCAGCTTCCCCCCACAGCAGAATAAGCTAAAAGACCCTAACCAAACCATATTTTGGGTTTATTTTATTAAAGTGAATAGGAATGAAAAGGGAATACACCAAAGGATACTGTGTGGTGGGTTTTTGCTGCTTTCTGAAACTATAAAATTCAGAAATATTTCTGATGTAATAGAGGAATATTATGAATTAAGAAATAGAATTAACTTCTCTTCAACGTAGTCTCTATAATGCACAAAATTAAACCAAATTTCAGTCCGATATTTAGAGGGAGGCTAAAAATTCTGAGAGGATGTTTGCGATGTTTCTCATCCCAATATATGGGATGAGAAACCTATTTAATACCTCCATGATTACACTAAGAAACACCATTAGTACTGATAACAGAGAGCATAGTTTGGATATCTTCCTTTCTGTTCAAGATCTGATGCCCATTCAGAATCTGAACTCCAGGATTAGCAGGAACCTAGTAATATCCTGGCAGATTATTTGCCTACATCTATGTTCAGTGGTGATGTAAGAGCAAGATTTGGGAACCAAAATCCAGGGCCTTGAGCAGCAAAGTTTCTAAACACAGAAGGCCTTGTTTACTTCAAAATTACAAACACATGCTTCATCAATAAAGCTGTGCCATCTAGAACCTAAAATAAATTGTGCCAATCACTGGCATTTGGCCTATTTTAACTTCCAATGAAATATATAAATTATTATATTTACAATACAATTTGGTAGAATAATGAAGACATCCCTATGGCTTGGATTAATAGGACTATTTTTTTTTTTTACATACATGATTTTATTGCTTCACACTACAGCGTATTGCAAAACAGATTACTACTATGCCTGTTGAAATGTAATTAACTCTTGGAAAGCACAATATGCTAGTAACACGAAGCAACTATCTTGTAGATGCTTAAACAATACAATGTTATCTGAATGGATGCTATATACTCTACATTCTAGAAAGAAATAATGTGGCTGATTCTATGCTATTTGAATTAGTAAAACAAAGGCATTATATTGCCAGATATCTAAGACTAAAATAAAATTGGGCACTGACCAATTTACCATCTTGTCAAGGATAGATATACACACAAGTTCTGGTGAACAACACAGAGAACCCAGCTCATTTCTATAGTAGTTTTCGATCAGTTAAATGGAAACTTTTCTAAACTGTACAAAAGAGTCCTCTGCTATTCTCTGTATCACACACAATAAGTGGACCTGCTTCTCTTTACCTCATCACTGTCTGCCAATACAATGTCCCCTTACAACTACCTCAAATAATGAACGGGTGGCAAGCAAATTTTTATTTATTGTTAACTAGCAAAATCACAATCTGCTCCTTATTCATTCCATTATCTCCAAGAACAATAACTCTTTTTTACATAATTATTCCAATTATAACCTTTTATTTTTAAAATATATGTTTCATTTGGGTCGGTGGACTTCTATTCTTGAACTATTTTCCACAATACCACAAGAGTTTTTTTTTTAAAAAAAGATATCAGTTGAACTCAGTTCAAAAGAATCAACTAGGAAAAACCAAAGTAGATCCTTTCCTTGAAGCTGAGGCCAACAGAGGAAAATAAAAATAAAACACAAGACATGGTTACAAATCCTTTCAAATATAATCCAAACTTACTTGGGGGGCCATCCTTTCCATTTCACCAGATATTCCACCTTACCCTATAGAAAAAGAAAAAGATAGTAAAATCAACTGTGCCATCAAGCCCCACAAAAACAGTTAGATCTATAAATTATTCTAACAAACAGCACCCTTCAATTTGCCCATTCCCGTGCATTTATAATTAAACGTTGCCACACTCTGAACTGCAATTCCTGGGCTTGCCCTGGAGGCATATCCAAAGGCTTCCCAGGGCACATAAAGAAACTGCAAAGCCCCACAAGGGCAACAAACCAACCCATCTATACATGATCCAGAAGGAATGTTTAGAAATTGGGAGGGGAAAAATACTGCCTGCTAGATAGGCTGACTGATTTGAGCACCTTGCTACTTTCATCCCTTTGCCTGCAAGGGCTTCTGGTACATCACACAGGAGCTCTGCTTATAGCAGATTACAGTATAATTAATTAGGGGTCTTATGCAATAGTCTGAACACTGGGCTACAGGAATGATTCTCAGATTATCGAAGGTAGTGCAGATAATTGCTGGAATTGCTGCACAAGATTCTCAACCTCCTCCCCATCTATAAACACACACTCATTGGTTCACAGGACAGAATGCCAGCCTACTCCTTACTTCCATCAACTGAACACAAGAAATCATGGAGAAAAAGGCATACATGATCGTTTGTGTCTAGTTGGTGGGAAGTAAGGAGGGAAGTGATGGTTTCATCTCCCATCACAATGGAAGGCCATCGGCATAGATTTTTTAAAGCAAACAAGTATGAGGCAGTAAAAGCTTGAGCCGATATACTATTTTCCAGTTTATTAAGACGCACTTGATAAACTGTTGAGTTCATTCTCTCCTAAAATTATTGATATTGTGCTTCATATTATAAAAAAATTCATAGTTTTTTTTAAAAAGACGATATAGTCTTGCAATCCACAACTCATACAATAATCTGACATTTTTCACATCAAAGAAACTCATGGATCAACACAAATTACCTCTGAAAGGCAGCTAAATCATGCAGGCAATGGTGAATATTTATGGCCTAAATAACTTGATAAAAATTAAACAAAACCCCAATATTCAGGTCATCTTAGAACAATCTCAAAATTCACTAAAGCTTATGAAAATAGCTAACCTTCTTCCAAGATATATCCAATTTCTCTGTTCATCAGGATACTTTATGACTATAGAGCAAAAACGTGGGAAGCAAAAAATGATCCAATCCGAGAGGCAGAGTTTTTTTAAAAAAATATGACATCCACCCATTTTGACATATTTATTCTTCCTCTAGCAGAAACGTCTGCCCTACTCTAACACTCCCACTCTGCAGCAATTCTAAATTTGCAATCCAAGATACATTAGTTACTTGTCTGGAGATGAGATCTGTTAAACTCAAGACATTTTGAACATGAGTAAGTCAGACCTAACACCGCACTGGGGAACGCTGCAACAACACTTGTGCACATTCCAACAGGGATATCACCACGTGATAAACGTGCAACAACCATCATTTCTCTGCACTTTTGCGAGTCAGCCCTCTCTTGGGCTTCACTGGCGCCCCCTGCCGGCGGGAAAACGAGAAGTTCCGCCACGCCCCCCTACTCGCACTACGGCGTGTGTACAAACTGGGGGGCGAGAGGATGAGGTACTCCACTTCGCTCGCGCTTGTTGTTGTTTTTTTGGATTGGGAGCAGAGCAAGAGCAACTACCTAACGGTTTGTAATTAAAGGTCCCAAGAGGCGGCTGAGCAATGGAAGAAATCCAGCCTTGCACATTCTTCCTCCCTAAAAACGCCGTTTATAGCCCTGCAGAATCAATGCAAAGTCGGCGCAGGCAAGCAGCACCCACCTTTCTTACGCGCTTCTTCCTGATGCTCTCCACAGCAAACACCTGCTCCCCAATAGCGGAAAGCTCCATACAGGGAGGAAGAAGGTGGCGGAGGTGGTGGCTGTTCGCAGATTGAGGGAAGTACCCAAGTGCGCGCCGGCTATCGTTGTTTGTTCTCGCTCTTACTTCCTCCGGCCCCCCCTCTCCACTCTAGAGCTCAATCACGCCGCCGCTAACGTTCCATTTTAGAACCTGCGTAACATTTTCCCAAGCGCGCGCGAGGGAAGAGCGAGCGAGCGAGTGAGCGAGCGAGCCCTCGCCCTCCCCTTCTGGCCAGCGCTAGTTTGTCAAGAGGAGCCGGGCGCACGGAAGCCGCTCCTGCTTTAGACCTGCTTGAACGGCGTGCTCCACCCCCAAGGAACCTGCGCGAGCGTGAAATAAGTCCGAATTCGCACCGCAGGGCCTAACACAAAAGGCCAGCCTTGGACTTGGTGTGCCGGGGGGTGGGGGTGCGCCAGGCTTTATTTATTTATTTATTTCCTTCAGGGAAGGGGAAACGGATTGAAATAGGCAACGAGAAGAGGGGGAAATTGGCAAAAAAAAGGGCTCGTTCTTTTTCTTTTCTCTGGTGTTTACCCTACTGATGTTAGGTGTTGGCGCAGTACAGAGATCAACCCTGGAGCGATGGCATCACAATTCTCTCTCACACACACACACAAACAAAAAGGCGAGGCGGCTGTAGGTTTCATGCACACATTTACCTGCGAGCGTTCCCTATGGCACCGAATTGCCCTTATTTTTGAGGAAGGAAAAGTGCGTATTGCAAAAACCCTAGCATCAGTGACAGGCGCCTTATTTATGAAATCCCCGTGGCTCTACTACGTGAATGCGCTTTTCGACACCAGCCTCTGTCTCAAAATGCATTTTGTGTTGTGCTCTGCAGAGGATAGCGGACCAGCCATTCTTTAAACCAAATCTTATTCCAGTTATCTGTCTAATTGGCATCCGCAAGGTGGTAGTCGTGGGAAGTTTCTAGAACAGCAGTATTCAAAATTGAACCCAAAGAGAACGTCTGTCAAGTTGGAGCTGCAAAAAAAAAAAAGGCACCCTCCCTGCAGTGCACCAACTCCGTTAACTCCAGTCAGAAAGCACACATTTTTGCCCATTTTCCTCCCTCCCGCCACGCGTTCTTGCAAGACTTTTTCTGCAGCTCAAAAACAGGCAGAATTTCCCGGGGTCCGAGTTCTCTCGCATGGTTGGGAAAATCTGAACAGCGCAGTCGTATGTGGGTTTATTGGAAGTAAATTGGATTAAATTCAAAGAACGTAGACATGAAAAGGACCGGTCCTTAAATGTGTATCAGTGCCTGCAATTTTGCCTGCCCCTATCAGCATTTTTCACATTCGTCATCATCCTAGGGGAATAATGTGGGTGAAAAATAACATGCAGTTTCTGCAGCGGCCGATTGTTTTCATGCGGTCGCCCATCCTATACCTTTTTCAGAAGACACCGTATTTTTATTTTTTAAATAAAAGGCTTGCAATAAACGCTTCAAGTCGTCATCCTGCGATGTTTACAAAGTCGGAACTTTCGTTTTCAACATATCCTTTTACGTGCCCTTATTGGCCCTCAGTTACCCGGAGGCCTGCCTTCCTAAACCTTCATTGGCTTGGAGCTCCGTTTGTTTCCTTCCTTTGCACTCTAATTGGTCACGGATTAATTATTTTGGTTTAATTGAAAAATCCTCGACAGATGAACTCGGGATGAAAGTCAGGTCTGGCACCACGCCCAAAGGAGATGACGAATGTCTCCTGGCTGGAGGGAGCTTGTCCTCTGCGGAAAAAGGGACAATAATGAGATCCTTACTGGAGAAAAGCCTCCTCCATTGGAGGTTTGTGCACAATTAGAGTCCAGGCTGATATATTTCGCTATTCTGAAATCTAGTTTATATTACAGTGATTGAGTTTATTTATTTATTTTTATTTATTTATTTGATTTGCCAATTGTTTACAAGATAATAAGTATAAGTGTATACATAGTTGTGAATACATGAAATGGGTACATATAAGAAAAATAAAAGAAGAATAAGAGAAACAATAGGACAGGGACGGTAGGCACGTTGGTGCGCTTATGCACGCCCCCTACAGACCTCTTAGGAAAGGGGTGAGGTCAATAGTAGACAGTCTAAGGTTAAAGTTTTTGGGGTTTGGGGAAGAAACTACAGAGTCGGGTAGAGTATTCCAGACATTGACCACTCTATTGCTGAAGTCGTATTTCCTGCAATCAAGTTTGGTGCGGTTAACTTTGAGTTTGTATCTATTGTGTGCTCTTGTGTTGTTATGGTTGAAGCTGAAGTATTCATTGACAGGTAGGACATTGCAATGTATGATTTTATATACCACGCTTAAATCAGACCGAAGACGGCGTAATTCAAGGTTTTCTAGTTCTAGAATTTCAAGTCTGGTGGCATAAGGTATTCTACAACGAGTAGAGGAGTGGAGAACTCTTCTTGTGAAATATTTCTGGACTTTCTCAATTGTGCTAATATCAGATACGTAATGTGGGTTCCAGACTGATGAACTGTATTCGAGTATTGGTCTAGCAAATATTTTGTATGCTCTGGTTAGTAGTGTGATATTACCAGAGAAAAAGCTACGTAGGATTAGGTTAACAACTCTTAATGCCTTTTTGGCTATGTAGTTGCAGTGGGCTCTAGCACTTAGATCATTAGAGGTGAGTATTCCAAGGTCCTTTACAGAGCTTGGGTCATCAACAAGATCTTGACTATTCAGCTTGTATTTTATTTTCTGATTTTTTTTGCCAATATGTAAGACAGAGCATTTATTTGTTGAGATTTGAAGTTGCCATTTGTTTGACCATTCTGATACATAGTCAAGATCTTTTTGTAGGGTAGCAGTATTGTCTGTGGTATTGAACAGCTTTACATCATCAGCGAAAAGAACGCAATTGCTCTTAATATGATCACAGAGGTCATTTATGTAGAGTATGAAGAGAGTTGGTCCTAGAACACTGCCTTGGGGGACACCACTATTGACAGGTACAGAATTTGATAGGACGCTCCCAATTTTGACCATTTGTTGTCTGTTTGCCAGGAATGCTTCTATCCAGTTATTCAGTTGTCCAGAGATACCATAGGATTTTATTTTTAGGAGTAGTTTGTCGTGTACCACTGAATCAAAGGCTTTACAGAAGTCTATGTAGATTGCGTCTATTGCTTTGTCCTGGTCGAGTTGTGTCGTCCATATGTTTTTGCAGTGTAAGAGTTGCAGATTACAGGATAGTTTTTTTCTGAAACCAAATTGTTTATTGGAGAGTAGGTTGTTTGTCTCTAAGTGGAGGATGATGGATTGGTTAATAATTGATTCCATGACTTTACAGGTGACGCAGCATAAGGAGATTGGTCTGTAATTTTCAACTAGGCTTGGGTCTCCCTTTTTGAAGATGGGGATGACTGTGGCTTGTGACCATAGGTTAGGCAAGGAGCTGGTCCTGAAAGATTTTTCAAAGATTATGCTTAGAGGTTTGGCTATGGCAGTGGATAGCTTTTTTAAGAAGTAGGCACATATTCCATCAGGTCCAATAGATAGAGATGGTTTTAGATTGCGTAGTGCTTTTTCAACATTGTCTTCTGTAAAATCGATATGTATTAGATCATTGTTGTTATCTGTGGTACGGCTAGGAAATACTGGGCATGATCCATTGCTGTTTACAAATACTGAGCTGAAGAATGTGTTAAAGATGTTGGCTTTAGTGGTGTCGTCGTTGCAGTCTTTACCATCAGGTCCTATCAAGGGTGGGATAGACCTTGAGTCTTTTAGTTTGTTGTTTACAAAATTGTAAAAAGCACGGGTGGAATTGGTGCTTAGAAGGTTTTCCTCTTGTTTAATGTGATAATTGATGCATTCGGTCTTTATCTGGTGGCATAAATTTTTGTATCGGCTTTTGAAATTGGCAACGTGACCAGATTTGTTTTTCCGCCAGAGTGATCTCTTTTTGGATTGAAGTTTCCTTATTGTTATGGGTAATCTGCTTTTTTGTTTTGTTTTGGGAGTTGTTGTTGGTACATATAGTTTGATGACTCTTTTGACTTCAAGTATAAATATGTTGTAATGGTCTTCAACAGTATTGCATCCAGTGAATAGAGATTGCCAATCAAGGGATGAGAGATCGTTGTCTATAAGATCATAGTTGCCTTTTTTGAAGTTACAATTGGGGATTACATCATTGTGGTGATTTTTGTGTGGGCGTATGTTGAGACAAAAGTCAATCATATTGTGGTCACTGCTGGAAAAGGGTTCTTTAGTTTGTATTCCGTAAATTAAATTCAAACTATTGCAGAAGATGAGATCGAGGCAGTTGTTTAGTCTAGTGTTGTTGGTTACTAGTTGTTCCAGTCCCAGATTTGTAATAGCATTGTAGAAGGTTGTGTGTATGATTTCAGTTGTACATTCATTTAGGGTCCAGTCAATATGAGGTAGATTGAAATCACCAAGAAAGATAAAAGGGTATGGGCAGGATGCAGCCCATGTTAGTAATGTATTTAGCTTGTTTACATGTTCGATGTCATAATCAGGTGCTCTGTAACATAGTAAGAATCGAATTGTGATATTTAAGGATAGTTCACAGATGATGGTCTCAGGAAGAGCAAGCTCCTGGGTAACTTGGATATTTTTTAGATGTAAGGACTTTTTATAGAAGATAGCAACACCACCTCCTCTACGAATTTCACGATCTGATCGGTAAACATGATAGTCCCTTACTGTGGTAATGGAGTCAGGGAGAGATGCGTTGAGCCATGTTTCACAGACAAATATAATGTTGAATTTAGCCATATTTAGTAGGAGGAAAAATTCAGGTATTTTATTCACGAGGCTTCTTGCATTGAGTAGTTTGCATTTAAGGCCAGTAGTAGTTGGAATTGAGGTAGTTAGGGGCGTGCATGCCTAGTCTTGGGTGATGGTGGATCGGTTGAGGTAGGGTTGTGGTTCAGGGTTAAAGCTGAGTTGCGGGTTGTGTGGCTTACTTTTGATACAGTCAGCATGGTAGTCAATGTACAGGTCCTTCTCTCCATTGTCTAGACGTTTTTTGAGTTCAGTGCGGAGTACACGGGAGCGGGCACGTTGCTGTATGGTTAGGTCAGGGCGACAACGGAGGTTCTTATGGTTGGTGTTGGTTTTGGCGAGTGAATTTGTAGTGTAAATGAATTTACGTTTGCTTGATTCATTTTTGCAAATGACCCTGCACAAGCGTGGGGCCACAGAGCCGTCTCTGTTTTTGAGCTCTCGGCCGATGCGGGAAATGTC